GGTCATTCTCACACTGGTGTGATAATCTTTTATGTCCTCGCTTGAAAGTTTTACGTGGTGCACGTAAAACGTGTAAAAATCTTTCCCTTGTTTTCAGTGACTGCATAAGGTTCCATTTCTTTGCGTTTGAAACTTTGTCATGTCCAACATGTTTTGCAAACAGTCATGTCCGACATGTCAGTTTTGCGGAACAGTGCTGGTGCACATGTTGGGGCATGGTTCATTTCAAGCAAAGAGCACGGCGGTCATTTTTGAGCCTGGAGTCTTCCTGTGTGAGTGCGGTTCGTCCGCCACTCCGCAGGCACGTGCAGACTAAAAGGCTCTCGGGGGCTAAAGTCGGTGTGCGAGGGTTAGCTTTGTATGGACTCCAGCGCCTCCAGCTCAGACAGCTACGACAGCTCTTCCTTCTCTTCTGAAATTGATTTGTTTCGAGAGGAGGCACCTGAGGCTCCGCCACCGCTGCTCCGGATTTTGCCAAGGCACTTTCACGAGCCGCGATTGCTGTATCTGCTTTGGGTCAGCCAGCGGTGGCAGCGAGCTGTGTTGCTGCGTGAGGAAGTTACTGTTTGGGAGGCTGCCTGGGGAAGCATTGCTTTCAACCATCGTGTCCTGCTTTTGTCCCCTCAACAGACGTGGCTTGCCGTGGGCCTGGGAAATCGTGAACTTCACAGGTGCGTGACGACGGCCGTCAACCTGGGACCCTAGGCTTCTGCTCTTTGGTCTTTGGGGAGTATGAAGGGGGTTGGGCATGCAAAGACCGATCTAGGCCAGGAACCCCTATCCTTGAGGGCGGACGCTTGGGCCATTGGTGCCAGGGCTAAGCGACCATGTTTGGCCTGGGAGCAAGGTCCATTGAAGGGCATCCTGGGGAATGCAGCTGGCTCGATCATTCCGAGTCCTACGTGGCCGGTGCTGCCCAATCCATCTGCTGCGGACTCAGATTTTGAGGATCGAAGCTGGTCGGAGGTTGTCCCTCCGTGGGAGCCTCGAGCGGCCAAGTGGCTGAAGTCGTCGCTGCATAGCTCTTCGTGGGTGGATGTNNACAAGAGGTCTGCAGCCCTGGAGAGGTGGAAGGTTCTCGTCTTGTCGTCAGGGGAGGCTACAGCTTTGGGGAGATCTATCCTGGAGGCTCAGCGAAGCGAGGACCCTGCTGCTGTTGATGCTTCGATTGCCGATGCTTTCCATCGCAAAGCTACCTCGACTCTGAGGACTAGAGCTGCGTCTCTGCTCATGTTTTGCAGGTGGCGAGCCACAGAAGGCGGGGCTGCGACTGCAGGGGTCTTTCCTTTGGACGAGCCGACGGTGTACAACTACGTGGCCCACCTTAGATCGACCAAGGCGCCACGCACCAGGGCTCCTAGATTCCTCGAGGCTTTGGGCTTCGCGAAGGGAGTGCTGGGGGCCGAAGTACAGAACATCCTGGATTCAGCGCGCATTCGCGGTGCTGCCGAGGGCTCTGCTGAGGTTTCGGTGAGGAAGGCCCCTCCCTTGACCGGGGCTCAGGTTAAGTTCTTGGAGTGGTTCGCGGCGACCGCAGAAGGGCAAGAGGCCGTCTTCGTGGGGCACGTCTGCTTCTGCATTCATGCCAGGCTGAGGTGGGGAGACTCCCAGCACTGTGCTTTTGAGCCTTTCCTTGATGTCTCTGGAGGGAAAGGTTTTGTGGAGGCTTCGTTGTACAACCACAAGACGGCCCAGAGGACGGCTGTTTTGAGGAACAGACTTTTGCCTGCTGTGGGGATCACTCCGGGGATTTCTGGGCTCGATTGGGCTTCGAAGTGGCTCGAGAACAGGGCCCTGCTGGGTTTGGTGGCTTCTCGGGGAGAACCAACTATGCCTGCCCCGAAAGTCGGGGGAGAGTGGGCCAAGATTCCCTTGTCATCGGACGAGGCGGCTACGTGGTTGCGGGAGATTCTTCGGGCTCATGATATTCCCTCCCTGGGCCCCGGGGGCGGGACTCGATCCTTCAAACCCACGATCCTCTCCTGGATGTCTAAAGCTGGAGCCCCACAGGGTCTCCAGAGGCTCGCCGGCTACCATGTTGAGCCTGGGGCAAAGAATCCATTGGAGTATGGAAGGGATGCGATGGCTCCGGTTCTCGGATTCATCGAAGGGCTCCTGGAGGTTATTTCTGGGGGTTTCTTTGACCCGGACCGCACCAGGTCCGGCAGATGGCTTGGGTGTCGCTCCTTTGACGATGCCCTGAGGAGAATGAGTGACGCTTCAGGTGCCGGGGGCCTGTCTGGTCTGCACAGCGAGGAGGAGGCTGGTCAGTCCATAGCACCTGAGGTTGACGATGTCTGGAATCCTGAGGAACCTTTGGAACCTGGGGATGCCACGCCTGAGTCTGCAGCACTGGGGCCCGAGCCAGCTTCCTCCGAAGAGCGTCAGGTGTCTGATTGTGATTCCTCGTCGGCGTCTCTTCAAGATGAGGAAGAGTCCGAGGATGCTGAAAGGATGGCCGAGCTTGCGGGAGAGCAGGTGGCCGGGGCCATCCAAGGAGCAGCGGACGCTCTTGAAGGCTCCTTCTTTCGACATGTCATCAGTGGCGTTTTGCATAAGGCTCGAATTTTGAATCCCGACAGCGAAGGTGAGGCCACGGTTTTCTTTTGTGGCCGTCAGGCGAATGCCAACTATAAGGAGGCCAAAGGGTGCTCCATCTACGAGCCTCGCAAATGTGCGAAGTGCTGGTCAGAGCGTTGATGCAAGGGCACGACTAAATGCTAGGGATTCGAGTGTGGCCTGAGTTTCTTTGAGTGCGAGTCGGAGTGCATGAGGGACCTCACGTTCTGCACACATGTCCTCTTGATGCAAAGTTGAATTTCTTTTCGGCCGTGAGCTTGCTGCTCGAATGTCGGTGGTAGATAGCGAAGCGGTTTTCTCTTCGAGATGTGCGAAGGTCGGCCTCAGCCAAGGGGCCATTGATACTCTGCGTGCGAAAGGATGGGGCACACATGCAAATTTTGCCTTTTCCACTGCGGTGATTCCGGGGCAGGGAGACGATAG